AATTCCTGGCACCCACATGGCAGCTCACAGCCAACTGTAACTCCAGTTCCAGAGGATCTGACTCCCTCTTCTGTACTCTGCAACCTCCAGACACACATTTGATACATGTCCATACACTCAGGCAAAATACTCACATGTATAAAATTAAATAAAATTTTTTTTAAAGTTCAAGGCCTGACTGACCAACAGATCAAGTTCAAGGCCAGCCTGAGCAATTTAATGACACCTTGTCTTAAAACAAACAAACAAAAACAAAAACAAAACAAACAAAACAACAAACAAACAAAAAACAACAAAAACAAGCAAAACAAAACAACAAAAATTGAGAAAAGGGTTGGGTGTGTGGTATCCAACTTTAATCCCAGCACTAGGGCAACAGATAGGTCTCTGTGAGTTCCAGGCCAACCAGGGCTATACAATGAGGCCCTGTCTTAAAAAAAAAAAAAAAAAAGGTAGAAGGTTGAAGCCACAACTCAGTAGAAAACAGAGGACTTCACTATCTTGTGCAAGGTTCTGGGTTCAATCCTACGATTTTGATGATGATGATGGTGGTGGTGATGGTGGTGGTGGTGGTTGTGACCAGGAGAATGGCTCAGTGGGCAAGCATTGCCCTGAATGTTGAGAAGACTTGAGTTCAGGTCCTTAGAAGTCACCTAAAGCCAGGCTAGGAAACCCATGTGCCTGTAATCCAGAAACTGTAATCCAGAAATCAGGAGAATCTTTGAAGCTTACAGGATAGCAAGCGTAGCATGCACCACAGAGAGAACAAGATTCTCCTTCTCAAACATGGTGGAAGCCAACTCCTGAGGCTGTCCTATGACCTCCTAGTGTTATGCTCCCTAACACACACACACAGAAACGGAAGCACATGTACACAAAGATAAAGAAGAAGGAGGAGGAAGAGGAGGAGGAGGAGGAAGAGGAGGAGGAGGAGGAGGAGAAGAAGAAGAAGAAGAAGAAGAAGAAGAAGAAGAAGAAGAAGAAGAAGAAGAAGATGATAAAGGCTAGTAGCTCCAAACCCACTTCTCTCAAAACAAAAACAAACAACAAAAAAGACAAGAAAAAAAGATTAAGACTATAAAAATCAGCCGGGCAGTGGTGGCACACACCTTTAATCCCAGCACTTTGGAGGCAGAGGCAGGCGGATTTCTGAGTTCGAGGCCAGCCTGGTCTACCGAGTGAGCTCCAGGACAGCCAGGGCTACGCAAAGAAACCCTGTCTCAAAAAACAAAACAAAACAAACAAACAAACAAACAAAAATGCATAAGGCTGGGCAGGAAAACTGAGACCACGTGTTTGATATACTATCCAATAGGCAGTGAATGAAGCTTTTAAAATATTAGCCAGGTAGTGATGATGCACACCTTTAATTCCAACACTAGGGAGGCAGAGGCAAGGTTAGCTTGTGAGTTCGAGGCCAGCCTGGTCTACAGAGTGAGTTCCAGGACAGCCAGGGATATACAGAGAAACCCTGTCTCAAAAAACCAAAAAAAAGAAAAAAAGAAAAAAAGAAAAAAGAAATTCACATTTAAATAACAAATACAGACATGTGTATGCATTGTGTATATGTATATGCACACATATGTGGTCTGAATCAATAAAACCAGGTTAAAAAAAAAATGTCTAAAGCTGGCAAAAATGTAGAGAAGTAGGCTCTGTTATAATGGTAGAACTGTAAATACGAAGGTTCCTATGGTTTTAAATACACACACACACACACACACACACACACACACACTTGGGGAGTAGTGGTACACACCTTTAATTCTACCTGCAGACGCAAGCATACCTCTTTGAGTTAGAGACCAACCTAGTCTACTCAGTGAGTTCCAGGCCAGCCAGAACTATGTAGAGATACCCTGTCTCAAAATAATACATAAAAACACACACACACCGACACGCTACCTATGCTGTGTTTTCACTGCTCTAACTTTACCCTACAGAACATCACATGTACACAGAGATCCTTCCACACAGCCCCCCATTGCTGTGTGACAGAGCACTGCTAGAAATAGTCCATAATCCCTACTTTCAACAGAGGGAGTCAAGGGGGGGGGGCAGGGGAGACCCTGTCTCCAAAAAAAGGGGCAGGCAGTGTCTCAGAGATGACAGAGAAGGTATCCACTGCCCTCCGAACACATGTGCAGCCATACACACACAAACACACATACACAGAGGAAAAAAGTAGGCTATGAACATATATAGTCCAAGAAAAAGTCTAATAGCTAAATTGTGCAATATTTTTGTAAATAAAAAAAAGATTAAGTAAGTCAGGAACACTCAATATGAGGTCTTCCATTTAAATCAAAGAAACCAAAGCCTCGTGCAAGATTAGGTGTTCGTGTGTATTTGTGAATGCGTTTTCTAAAAGACTCTACCTTTTATGAAACCTTTTTTTAATGTTTTATTTTCTTTATTTTTTTAATTTTATTTCTGCACATTCGTATTTTGCTTGCATGTATGTCTGTGTGAGGGTGCTGGGTCCCCTGGAACTGAGGTTCCAGTCAACTGTAAGCTGTCATGTGGGTGCTCAGAATTGAACCCAGGTTCTCTGAAAGAACAGCCAACACTCTTAGCTGTTGGTCCTTCTCTCCAGCCCCCTTTTTATGAATCCTTAAAGGAACATGTGATCTCCAAAACGGGTAACAACATAATCACTAAAAACTTCTAAAAATGTCTGCATTTCAAGTATCTGAGAATGGGGTTAGGAAGCTTTGGAGGAGGAAAGAAATTCTCACTTAATATTAAGGTAAACATCTCTACCACAATAAATACATAAATAAATGTTTTATCTTGAGATTCCTAAATCCAAGGAACTACAGCACGCTCCTCTTGGATGAGGCTGTTCTGACTAAATAATGACAAACACCAACCAAAGAGGAACGAGCAGCACAGCTTCAGAGTATGGGATGACTTCTTGAATAAATAACAGTTAAATGCTGATGGCCTAGAAACAAAGACCACTAAAGATCTTTAGCACTGGTCACATTGGAGGAGTGGGCTCACCATAGCTAGTCGTCAACCATGAAAAGAAAGTTTCCAGATTAGGTATGTAAATTTAAAAAAGGCAAACTAACCCAGGCATGGAGGCACATGCCAGGAGTCCCAACCATCACTCCCAGAAGTTTAGGAGGCATAGGCAAGTGTTTATGAGTTCAAGGCCAGCCTAGGCTACATAGTGAGTTCCAAGATACAGATACCCAAGGGCTTTATTATGAGACCCTGATTAAATAATAATAAATTAAATTTTAAAAAGACAAGCCATACATCTTATCCATAATTTTGTGGGCTTCCTTGGGCAAACTCAAATCTTTTCTAGAAGCAGATAGGGTAGAAGGAGGCCAATACTATTGGAACTTGTATTATAGACTAAATCAATATGTTAGTCAACAAAATGCTTATTTTAAAATATATTTGTTTCCCCAAACTTGTGCATTTTTGGTCTAGAAAGTGGAATTAATATCAACTACAGAAGGAATGTATTTTGTTACATAGGCTGCCTCACAGTTCAAGGATGACACTCCCAGAAATAACTGTTAATAGCATGCCAAGTGCTCATGCAGGGTCCAGCTGCACACTCAGGACACTATACACCAATCCAGAAACGAGACAAACACTAACAAACGGAGCTGAATTGAGTCCATGGGCACTTTGCTTGGATTATTTCTCCTAGTTCTAAACTGTGAGCCATTATTACTAGAACAAGCTCTAGTCAGGAAATGATGCCTTCTCTTCTCCAACACGACTTGCTCTCAAAGCTCCCCTAAACTACGCCCATTTCTCCAGGCTGCTTCCAACAGTGCTCACTACTGCTTCTTCCAGCAGGCCCCTCACACTCCACCTCCCACACATACAAAAATTCACATTAATGCCCAATCCACAGACTCCTCTCCCACGACCTCGAAACGCAATACAAGCCTCATTCCTTTCCAACTCCTAAAATTCTCCACAAACTCCCTCTCCAATGGCACTACAAAACCAGGGCACATGCCTTCTGATCTTTTACATCCTCTCCTACCACAGAGCCTTGCTTCTGCAGTTAATGCTGCTTGGGGTACCCGGTTGGGGGTGGGGGGAGCAACATCGCTCTTTCCTTTACATTCAGATCCACTCCATGCCTGGCCCTCTCTCCCATAGCCTCTGCGCTCCAGTGTGGCTCCTTCCTGTCTCTGGCAAGGATGGAAAGTTACAGGAAGGGTCTGAGGGAGCTTGCTCTGTCCTGTGTGGACCGTGGTGGAGCAGCTGTTCAAGTCTAAAGCAAACTATTGCTGCTGATGCACAAGCTGGAGTCAGACTCTGTATTTGGAAATCCAGCCCCACCAGAAACACTAACAGGGAGGCAGTGGGCAAGCTTGTTCCTGGAACTGAAAAAACGGGATAATAAAAACAGCTATCTCATAGAGTTATGACGATTCAATGATCACTTTGCACAGACCCAGCTCGGTAACCTCTCCATGACTGACAGTTTCTCCAGGTCCTCTTCAGTGCTAAGGTTCCTGCAGAGTCTCCCCAGAGGGACTGAGGGAGGGCAGTGGAAGATGTACTGATTAGGCGGGTGTTGCCATGAATTTTGTCAGACCCCCAAAGTCAGTGTTCTCTTGTCCTTATCCCCCGACACACACACACACACACACGTAAGATCCAAGATATGAATATATACTCCAAATCCTCCTTCAGACACTCACCCGAGGGAGTGGAGAGTGCCATGAGGATCTGAGATTGGAAAGGAAACCCCGACGTCCCAAATACCTTCCTCAGGAGGAGCGGAAGGAAGCACCCGAAACGCTAAGAATAAGTGCAGAAAACCGACTCATCGGCGCAGGAGCGGGAGGGAAAGCGCGGCGGCAGCCGGCAGGGCAGAGCTCCCCGGCGCCTTCCTGGAGGGATACGGGGGTCTGAGCGCGGGAACGGCCGGGGGCGGGGGGTGTCCTCCTGTCAGCCCTCCTCAGCCCCGCGAACCCCGACAACCTTCTCCGTCCCCCGGCTCGAGGCCAGCTCACCTGCTGAGACGGCAGCTCCACATGCAGGGCCCGCGCGGGGGCACCCGGCGTCAGCGCGGCGGACGGGCCCGGGGGTGGCAGGGGCACCGGGCCCCCGAGCGAGGCGCAGGAGCTCATCTGGACCCCTGGGCCGCCGAGCGGCTAGGTAGGCAGTCCTCCCGCATCGGCCGCCGCCTCCCGAGCTGTGATTCGCCGAGTCCCTACAGCCTAGAAACCGGGCACCCGAGAGCCCCGGCAGCTCCGCGCCCGCGCTGGCCACCGCCGCTGGCTAAGGAAGAGCCATATTACCGCAGTGCAACCCCTCCACGGCCCGGAGCTGGCGTGCTCATTGGTTCCGTTCATGAGAGGGCGGGACCCAGCGGCGGCCAAGGGACATGCTATTGGGCAGCGGGTCCGTCCGTCGTCAGCCGCAATGACTAGGGGCGGAGGGACTCTAGGATGGCCTCAATTGCGTCTGTCAAACCCGGGCGAAACCTGGGGCGTAACTTCTCTTTGCCTCAGCCTAATTGGCCCTTTCACTATTGAGGGGTGGGGTCTCCTAGGGGAGCCTCGTGGGCTATTGCTCTAGAGCGCTGTCAGTTGTCGGTGAAATAGGGACGGCGTCTTGATTAGGTAGAGCGCGCGCCTGGAATCTCGTGTCACGTGCAGAAGTCTGGAGAGTCACCTGATTAGTGAGACTTAAGTCTTCTAAGCTACTTCCGCCCTAACCTAGTTGCTATGGTAACAGAGCCTCCAGTGGAGGGCGGGGACGGCTTGGCACCAGCTGAGTGGGGATGGATGGTCTGTCTTCCCAAAGTGTTCTCATCCACGTACAAAAAAGCCGTGCTTTATGACTGAGAGGAGGAGCCGCCACCGAGCAGCGATCACTGAGACCAGACATCCATCGGGCAGTCCACCAGATCTTCAGAGATCCACTCAGACCTGCAGGTCCACGTCCCTTCTAGCTTCTGTAACTAGTAAGCTTAGCCACAAAGTGTGCCAGCCAGCCAAGAGACTGTCTTACCTCTGCGGGTGGGATGTTTAGGATCTGCCTAGAAAGCTTTTACTGCTTGTGACTAACGCTTGCTTAGCCAACCTGTTTCAGCTAGGGCAGGAGTCCTTTCTCTGGGACTCTGAACTAGGAAACTTAACTCTACCACCGACCTGCTAATTCTATTGTGTTGTCTTTGTTTGTTTACTTGCTTGGCGAGCCGGGGGTGGTTGAGTCGGGGGGCGGGGGGAGGGCGGGGCAGATATGTCTGATTTGCTACTCACCGTGTAGCTCAGTCTGCTTCAGCTCCCCAGGTGCTGGGATTACAGGAGTGTGCCACCACTTCGTCTTTTAATAGGTATTTAGTACACACTGCAGCCACATTGCCTCCCCCAATTCAGACGTGCACACGTGAATACCTCAACCAAAGGACCTTGTCTGATTCATCCCTGGATCCCCGTTGCTTGCAAAGACTAGAGAAATGAATATGAAGGTACAGCTCAAATGCTCTCCCTTCCCTGAAGACTTCTTTGACCATAATAGCAGCTATAGCCATTGCTTCTATAAGTAGCACTGAGTCATTTTGCAAGATATTGATTCCCCCATCCCCAAAGAGTGTGAATTTCTCCACCACCTGGACTGTTATAGCTGAAAGAACACAGTGTTCAGAGAGGCAGACACAACAGGAAGCAGGCAGTTTGAGATTCTGACTGCCACTTTCTAGCTTTGTTGCTGAGCAGGTCAGCTCCCCACTGTCTGTCTATCCATGTGTTGAATAGTGTTGGTGTCATTGTGGGGGATAGGTGGGCCAATATATGTGCCCATGTAGACCCCAACATATAATAGATGGATTTAAAATCTTTTACTGAGTGGGAGGACGTATATATAGCTCAATGGTTGAGTAGATGCCGAGTATTCACAAGGCCTTGGGTTCAATCCCTAGCACTATGAAAAAATTATGTACAGGTGGGCATGGTGGTACATGCCTTTAATCCCAGCACTTGGAGGCAGAGGCGAGTGGATCTATGTGTTCAATGCCAGCCTGGTCTAAAGAGTGAGTTCCAGAACAGCCAAGGCTACAAAGAGAAACCCTATCACCAAAAACAAACAAAGTATATGCACATGTTTGTGTGTGTGGACATGTTTGTGTGCATTGGTATGTGTACATGTTTGTGTGTGTGTGTGTGTGTGTGTGTGTGTGTGTGTGTGTCCACTCGCAGAGGTCAGAAGTCAACCTCAAGTATTGTGCCTCAGGAGCCATCCACCTTGTTTTTTTTAATATGGGGGTCCCGCATTAGCTTGGAATTTACCAAGTAGTGCAGGATGGCTAGCCAGTGAGCCCTGTGGATCCTCCTGTCTCTGCCTCCCTAGATCTGGGATTAGAGGTACACACTGCCATGCTCAGCTTTTTTGTTATGATATTGGGGCTGGAACTCAGATCTTGGTGATTGACCAGAAAGCACTTTACCAACTGAGCTATCTCCCTAGCCCTTCCCCTTTCTTAAAATAAAAGGTAAGCATATTATCTTTCAGGGGGAAATGAGTTGCATCTGACCTTAGAAATGAATTGCTTTGACATCACAGTCTCTTATTTTGAAACACTGAGCAGATCCTCACGGCTGCAGCCTCAGTGTGGGGTCAGGTGTCTGTTGAGAGGGGAGCAGTTGGGAAATTCCAAATCATACGTAGTTCAAGCCATACAATGCCAAGAACCAGTGGAATTTCACAGAAACATTTCTGTTTCTAAACTGTGCTTGTTTGCCAAGGCTGCCGTATCAAATTACCACAGACTTAGTAGCTGAAAACAACAGAAATATATTCTCCCACAGATCAGGCTGTCATCTCTCCTTGCTGTTCCAGCGCCTGGTGGCTCTCAGATCCTTGGCTACATAATTGCAGTCTTCGACTCCTCCTGACATTCCCCTCTTCCTGTATCTTCCTTCTCCTCCAGGACATTTGACATTGGCTTTAGATGCCCTTTTCATACTTCATCTTGGGAACCTTTGTTAAGTGATATCTACATAGCCAGGCAGGGTGGTAGCTTATGTCTGTCATAGCAACACTCAGACAGTTGCCATGAGTGGAATGAACTACACAATGAGTTCCAGGCCAGCATGGGCTACAGTATAAGACCCTATCTCAAAAAATAAAAGAGAGAAGGAAGGGAAGGGGAAGGGAGGGGAGAGGAGAAGAAAAATACATCTGTAAATACTCTTTTTTTCCAAATATGGTTATAATCACAGGTTCGAATTATTTGAATATCCAGCCATGATTTTGGCCTACAACGCAAGAAAAATGAGACTATGGGTCAGCGAGATGACTCAGTAGACAAAGGTGATTGCTGCCAAACCTGAGAATTTGAGTTCTATCCCTGGAACCCATAAGGCAGAGACAGAGAACTTACTCTCATAAGTTGTTCCTTGACTTGTAGGTACACACTTGCAGCATGGAGGAGCTCAGATACATAAACATACGTATACATACACACACACACACACACACACACACACACACATATATATACATACATTAAAAAGAAAAACGGGCCTAGAGAGAGAACATGGGATCTTTTCATCTTCCTTGATCATCACTTCTATCAGCTAACCTTATTACTTTATTCAGTCAACAAACGCCCAGAGAGCTCCTCTGCTAGGTGCTAGGAAGTCAGCCCCTTCACGAGCCAACTCTGAAACGAAGGAAGAGTTACCAGCCTGACCCCTCAGTACCAGTGCTGAGCTAGTACTCATGCCAGTGCCAAAGGAGACCCAAGGGCAACCACCCGTACAACGCCACAGTGGAGGGGACATTTAAACAAGGGTACTGAAGAACCAAGAGCCAAGGGAGAGCGTGTCAGCAGAAGCTGTTCTTCCCACACGCTCTCACTGGGCCTCCTCACGGGCTGCCTGCTGGATACCAGAAATGCATACTTCAAATTCAGGAGCCATCTCAGATGTTTCAGCCCACACGGCTCAAGCACTAAGGAGAAACTCAGGCTACTGCTTACAAAGTATTCAAGAAAATGCATAGCAACTATATCATGCCAGGTGCTGGAAACAGTAAGTGTTCAAGAAACTTACCCTAGGATTATTTTCAAATATGTTGTTTGATCCTAATGCAGCTGGTATTCTTTGGGACTTAGTCTGTAATGTAGCAGTCTCAACATTAAAAAAAATATATATCTTAAATTGCTTAGAATTACCATGGTCATACAGCTCTGTGTGCATTTCCCAGAGAAACGTGTATCTAAGTCAGAAGCTCTCAGCATTCCTAACGCTTAGACCCTTTAACACAGCTCTTTGTGTTGTGGTGACCACCCCCCCAACATAAAATCATTTTCGTTACTATTTCATAACTGTAATTTTGCTTCTATTATGAATTGTAATGTAAATATCTGCTATGTGACCCCTGTAAAAGGGTCATTTGACCCCCCCACCCCAATAGGGGCCACGACCCACAGTTGAGAACCACTGGTCTAAGTGAAGAGAGTGTGGATGACAAAGTGGCCAAGTATAGCATGCATGCAATGACCAGAAGGTTGAAGATGAGGCAGAAACACCACTCTCTCTCTCTTTTTCTGTCTGTCTCTCTCTCTCTCTCTCTCTCTCTCTCTCTCTCTCTCTCTCTAGCACAAGTGACTCTTCAGAGGCCAGAGGAAAGATCAGAGCTGTCTTGAAAAGTTTTAAAGCATGCTGCCTTGTTTGCTTTTCTCTTGCTGTGATAAAACACTAGGAACAAAGCAACGGATGAAAGAAAGCACGAAACTGTGCTTATGGCTTCAGAGTGTTAGAGCCCATCATGGAAGAGCAGAGGCACAGCTGGGCACTCACATCTGGATTCACAACCATAGTCAGAGAGAGAAACAGTGCAAATGCCACAAATCTCTTAAAACCTCCAAGCCCACCCCCTGTGACACACCTCCTCCACCAAAGTCACACTCCTATCCCTTCCCAGACAGTCCCACCAACTGGGGACCCAGTATTGAAATGTGTGAGCCTATGGAGGGTCACTCAAACCAAACTTAGTTAAATTAAATGCATCCTTCTTCTCATCAGAGCCTCTTGTATTCGTTCACTTGTTCAACCAGATGGTCACTAGACCAGGTGTCCAGCCTGAGACCCCGAATAGGAAAATGATGCCAGGGGCACCCTTGGCTGGGGACAGTGCTCACTCAGTCCTCAGTGCTGACTGCAGTAACTGAAAGGACGTGAAGTACAATGAGAGCCCAAGAAGGGACGTTCCAAACAACAGGGCGTTGTCCAGGAAGGAGAGAACAGACAGAGTGTCTTAGGCAGACAGAGCACACCCCCGGCATCAGCATGGTTTAGCTAAAGCAAAAGCTGCAGA